TAGCAAATTATGGCTAGCCTGTGGGGAAGGCATTCCCACAATGTTTTCTGCACCTCATTTCAGTCTCTCGATTCAAGTGCGTCAAGTCGTTAACATATACAACATATATATATATGTACATGTGCATATATGTGTGAGTGTGTGCTATACAGGTGCGGGTGTGTTTGTTTGCTTTTTTTTTCTTTTTCTTAAATATTATAATTATTTATTTATTTATATTGCGGCTTAGCTAAAAATCTAACATAAGACACGAGTGCGTGCGCTGCTCACGTAGCTGACTCATTTTTTGTTTTCACTCGGATTTTCTAGAGATTTTGTTGACTAAAAATATATGCAACCTATATAGATAGAGAGAGACAACAAATACATATATGCATAGATATTTGCAATAATTTGTCTGGCTTTTGCTAATATGTATTTAATTATTGCAAAATTCATTCATAGGAAGGAGCTCAAGGTGCAGAAGGCGCGTTTCAGCTCACAGCTCGAGGATGCGCACAAAAATGTTCAAAATCTGGAGAGTAAGGTGAGCGATATGCAGCTAAAGATACAGAATCTGGAGCAGGAACTCTCGCAAAAGCAATGGAATGTGGACAGTGAGTTGAACTAAGTAAAAGCCTGGGATCAGACTCTAATCACATTCATTCGCAGGACTCCAGGGCGAGCTGACGGCCGCGCAGAAGGACGATGAATATGTGCGCAAGAAGCTGAAGCTGCTCGAGGACGAAAAGGTGCATCTGCGGCACAAATACAGCGACGATGAGGACGAATTCCGACGCAAATACAGTGAGTACTTGTCCATTTGATTTCGAAATCAAATCAAAACAAAAAATCTCGTTATCTCAGATACTTTGGAGGCGCAATACAACGAATTAACCGAGAAGTACAAACAGACGCAGAGCCTGGCAAATGGACTACAGACACAGCTGGCCGCAGCTCAGGCTGAGCTGGCCAAGTGGGCCGATGAGGTGAACAGAATACGTGAGGAGTTGGAGGAGCAAATACGCATACTCAAAAATGCACTCGAGAATTCCGAGGCGGAGCGCAAAATCTGCGAGGATAAGTGGCAAACCGAGTTCGAGCTGCTCAGAACACACAACAGAGGTGCGACCCACATTGTAATACACTCACTACACACACCGGCATGCAAAACAAATATTGCTTTTAGATACCCTCGAACACTTAGGGGGACAAAGGGTGGGCTTGACTGAAAGGCAACTATATCCCAGTTGATGTAGATGTGGACTAGGCAATCGCTTTTCCTTACCCTTCTCTTGCACTAAAGTTGATGAGAGCTAAGAGAATATAAATTGGTTTATTATATAATATTCCATTATTCAGTTTGTTATCTTTTTTCTTACTCAGTCTCTCTCTCTCTCTCTCTCTCTCTCTCTCTCTCTCTCTCTCATAATAGTTGTTTCATAGAATAATGGATTGCATGAAGGTCATTCCTTATCTTCTTAAGTTTTTTTTTTTTTATTCCCATTTCTCTCTCTTTCCATCTTGCCCTCTGTCTACCTCTGATTGCTAGCTTTGCTGTCTCTTTCCGGGGCTACCATCACTAGTCCATCCTTCTTTTCATGTTTTCCAGTTTACCTTTCCTTGAAGAGAAGCCACCCGCTCTCTCCATCTCTCTCGCTTGCTCTCCTTCTTCTGCTCTCCTTTACTTTCATCTTATTCTCTTTCCCATCTCATTCTCATTCTCCCACTCCCCAACTTTTTCTTTCATTCTTCTCCCTCTCTTACTTTATTAATTTTCACTTGGACTGTATCCGTCTCTAAACACCGCCTTTCTATGCAATTTTCATAAATTGCATACACAATAAGATACTCCCATCTTATACTTTCTACAGCATATCTTCTAGTCTATTATATTATCACGTCTCTTTTCATAATTGACAGAGCGCGAGGAGACCCTGATGTCGGACTGCGAGTGGCAGATGCGGCAAATGCAGCGCCAGTGGAAGGACAAACTGGACAAATCCAATTACGAACGCAAACAGGCAGCGGCCAAGGCCGAGGAACTGGAACTGGAGCTGCAATCACGTCGCAAGGAGGCGGAAAGTTTGCGCATTTGCCAGGCACAGGTGAAGTCGCTGAGCGGCGTTGTCAGCGAACAGGAGCGCTCCATCCAGACGCTCATGGAGCGCATCGACAACCTGAAGGATGAACTCGAAATGGCCAACAGCAATCTGGAGACACAGATCGAAGCTGTGCACAAGATTAAATATCAGTGTGATAAGTGAGTCGAACTATCTCTTAAATACTCCTTAATCGAAGCATTTGCTAATCTGTGAACTTTACTCTCCAGCGCCATTTATGATAAGGAGCGTCAAATGATTTATCGCATCGATGAGGTGCGCAACGAAGCTGCCGCCTTTTGGGAGAATAAACTTTAGTAAGT